GGCAGCCGCCCCACCTGCACCTGGGTGTTGAGCACCGCCGGGCGCTGCAGCTTCAGCAGGGCGATGTCATTGCTGCCGCGCAGGGACACGTGTCACAGGGGGGCCTGGGCCGATGTCCCCACCCCCCCAGGGACCCCGCTCACCCGCAGGCCACACAGGAGCTTCGCCATTTGGGGTGGACGAAGATGTCGGCGGGGGCGACGGGGATGCGCTGCTCGGGGCCCTCCCTGGCACCCATGTCGTACTCGCCCAGCACCACCTCGTAGGTGAGCGTGGAGCTGCCCGGGCGACGGGGACATCAGGGGACGCCGCAGCCCTCCTGCACCCCTCCCTGCACCTGCACCCCTCCCTGCACCCTGCACCCCCTCATGCACCCATCTTCCACCCAGTACCCCCACCATGCACCCTGCACCCCTCCCTGCACCCCTTCCTGCACCCCCTCATGCACCCATCTTGCACCCAGCACCCCCTCCATGCACCCTGCACCCCTCCCTGCACCCTGTCCTGCACCCTGCACCCCCTCATGCACCCATCTTGCACCCTGCACCCCCTCCATGCACCCATTCGGCACAGTATATCACCCCTGCAACCCAGCACTCCATCCCTGCAGCCAGCACCCCCTCCATGCACCCTGCACCCCGCCATGCACCCATCCCGCACTGTACATCACCCCTGCACCCACCCTGCACCCAACACAACCTCCATGCACCATCCCCTCCGTGCACCCACCCCTACACCCTGCACCCCCCTGCACCCATCCCTGCACCCATCCTTGCATCCCACACCCCCCTGCACCCCCTCCTGCACCCCCGTCCCCTCCATGCACACGTTCCTGCCTCCGGCAGCGGCCCCCCCGCTGCCAGCCGGGTGTTAGGGGGGCTGCGCCTGGCGCCCTGCCCGCTGCCCTGCCCGCTGCCCTGCCCGCCCACGGCCATCTCTCCGTCCATCCATCCGTCCCTCAGCCATCCATCTGTCCTGCCCACATCCACCCACCCGTCCCTTCATCCCTGTGTCCTTCAAGCCCTCCAGCCCTCCCTCCGTCTCCCCAGCCCTTCATCCCTTCATTCTTTCTTCCATCCTTCTCTCCGTCCCCGCATCCCCCATCTATCCCTCATCCATCCCTAAATCCCTCCAACCATCCCCCCGGCCATCCCCCCGGCCATCCTCCCATCCATCCCTCTGTCTCCCCCATCCATCCCTCCTATTCCTCCAACCATCTCCCCATGCCTCCACCTCCCCATGCCTCCCTCCCTCCCTCCCTCCCTCGCTCCATCTCCCCATCCATCCCTTCATCCCTCCAACCATCTCCCCATCCATCCAACCATCTCCCCATCCATCCAACCATCTCCCCATGCCTCCATCTCCCCATCCCTCCCTCCCTCCCTCCACCTCCCCATCCGTCCCTTCATCCCTCCAACCATCTCCCCATCCATCTCCCCATCCATCCCTCCAGCCATCTCCCCAACCATCTCCCCATCCATCCCTCCCTCCCTCTGTCCAACCATCTCCCTATCTCTCCTTCCATCTCCCCATGCCTCCATCTCCCCATCCCTCCCTCCAACCATCTCCCCATTCATCTCCCCATCCCTCCAACCATCTCCCCATCCCTCCCTCCAACCATCTCCCCATTCATCTCCCCATCCCTCCAACCATCTCCCCATCTATCCCTCCATCTCCCCATGCCTCCATCTCCCCATCCCTCCCTCCAACCATCTCCCCATTCATCTCCCCATCCCTCCAACCATCTCCCCATCCCTCCCTCCAACCATCTCCCCATTCATCTCCCCATCCCTCCAACCATCTCCCCATCTATCCCTCCATCTCCCCATGCCTCCATCTCCCCATCCCTCCCTCCAACCATCTCCCCATTCATCTCCCCATCCCTCCAACCATCTCCCCATCCCTCCCTCCAACCATCTCCCCATTCATCTCCCCATCCCTCCAACCATCTCCCCATCTATCCCTCCATCTCCCCATGCCTCCATCTCCCCATCCCTCCCTCCAACCATCTCCCCATTCATCTCCCCATCCCTCCAACCATCTCCCCATCCCTCCCTCCAACCATCTCCCCATTCATCTCCCCATCCCTCCAACCATCTCCCCATCTATCCCTCCATCTCCCCATGCCTCCATCTCCCCATCCCTCCCTCCAACCATCTCCCCATTCATCTCCCCATCCCTCCAACCATCTCCCCATCCCTCCCTCCAACCATCTCCCCATTCATCTCCCCATCCCTCCAACCATCTCCCCATCTATCCCTCCATCTCCCCATGCCTCCATCTCCCCATCCCTCCCTCCAACCATCTCCCCATTCATCTCCCCATCCCTCCAACCATCTCCCCATCCCTCCCTCCAACCATCTCCCCATTCATCTCCCCATCCCTCCAACCATCTCCCCATCTATCCCTCCATCTCCCCATGCCTCCATCTCCCCATCCCTCCCTCCAACCATCTCCCCATTCATCTCCCCATCCCTCCAACCATCTCCCCATCCCTCCCTCCAACCATCTCCCCATTCATCTCCCCATCCCTCCAACCATCTCCCCATCTATCCCTCCATCTCCCCATGCCTCCATCTCCCCATCCCTCCCTCCAACCATCTCCCCATTCATCTCCCCATCCCTCCAACCATCTCCCCATCCCTCCCTCCAACCATCTCCCCATTCATCTCCCCATCCCTCCAACCATCTCCCCATCTATCCCTCCATCTCCCCATGCCTCCATCTCCCCATCCCTCCCTCCAACCATCTCCCCATTCATCTCCCCATCCCTCCAACCATCTCCCCATCCCTCCCTCCAACCATCTCCCCATTCATCTCCCCATCCCTCCAACCATCTCCCCATCTATCCCTCCATCTCCCCATGCCTCCATCTCCCCATCCCTCCCTCCAACCATCTCCCCATTCATCTCCCCATCCCTCCAACCATCTCCCCATCCCTCCCTCCAACCATCTCCCCATTCATCTCCCCATCCCTCCAACCATCTCCCCATCTATCCCTCCATCTCCCCATGCCTCCATCTCCCCATCCCTCCCTCCAACCATCTCCCCATTCATCTCCCCATCCCTCCAACCATCTCCCCATCCCTCCCTCCAACCATCTCCCCATTCATCTCCCCATCCCTCCAACCATCTCCCCATCTATCCCTCCATCTCCCCATGCCTCCATCTCCCCATCCCTCCCTCCAACCATCTCCCCATTCATCTCCCCATCCCTCCAACCATCTCCCCATCCCTCCCTCCAACCATCTCCCCATTCATCTCCCCATCCCTCCAACCATCTCCCCATCTATCCCTCCATCTCCCCATGCCTCCATCTCCCCATCCCTCCCTCCAACCATCTCCCCATTCATCTCCCCATCCCTCCAACCATCTCCCCATCCCTCCCTCCAACCATCTCCCCATTCATCTCCCCATCCCTCCAACCATCTCCCCATCTATCCCTCCATCTCCCCATGCCTCCATCTCCCCATCCCTCCCTCCAACCATCTCCCCATTCATCTCCCCATCCCTCCAACCATCTCCCCATCCCTCCCTCCAACCATCTCCCCATTCATCTCCCCATCCCTCCAACCATCTCCCCATCTATCCCTCCATCTCCCCATGCCTCCATCTCCCCATCCCTCCCTCCAACCATCTCCCCATTCATCTCCCCATCCCTCCAACCATCTCCCCATCCCTCCCTCCAACCATCTCCCCATTCATCTCCCCATCCCTCCAACCATCTCCCCATCTATCCCTCCATCTCCCCATGCCTCCATCTCCCCATCCCTCCCTCCAACCATCTCCCCATTCATCTCCCCATCCCTCCAACCATCTCCCCATCCCTCCCTCCAACCATCTCCCCATTCATCTCCCCATCCCTCCAACCATCTCCCCATCTATCCCTCCATCTCCCCATGCCTCCATCTCCCCATCCCTCCCTCCAACCATCTCCCCATTCATCTCCCCATCCCTCCAACCATCTCCCCATCCCTCCCTCCAACCATCTCCCCATTCATCTCCCCATCCCTCCAACCATCTCCCCATCTATCCCTCCATCTCCCCATGCCTCCATCTCCCCATCCCTCCCTCCAACCATCTCCCCATTCATCTCCCCATCCCTCCAACCATCTCCCCATCCCTCCCTCCAACCATCTCCCCATTCATCTCCCCATCCCTCCAACCATCTCCCCATCTATCCCTCCATCTCCCCATGCCTCCATCTCCCCATCCCTCCCTCCAACCATCTCCCCATTCATCTCCCCATCCCTCCAACCATCTCCCCATCCCTCCCTCCAACCATCTCCCCATTCATCTCCCCATCCCTCCAACCATCTCCCCATCTATCCCTCCATCTCCCCATGCCTCCATCTCCCCATCCCTCCCTCCAACCATCTCCCCATTCATCTCCCCATCCCTCCAACCATCTCCCCATCCCTCCCTCCAACCATCTCCCCATTCATCTCCCCATCCCTCCAACCATCTCCCCATCTATCCCTCCATCTCCCCATGCCTCCATCTCCCCATCCCTCCCTCCAACCATCTCCCCATTCATCTCCCCATCCCTCCAACCATCTCCCCATCCCTCCCTCCAACCATCTCCCCATTCATCTCCCCATCCCTCCAACCATCTCCCCATCTATCCCTCCATCTCCCCATGCCTCCATCTCCCCATCCCTCCCTCCAACCATCTCCCCATTCATCTCCCCATCCCTCCAACCATCTCCCCATCCCTCCCTCCAACCATCTCCCCATTCATCTCCCCATCCCTCCAACCATCTCCCCATCTATCCCTCCATCTCCCCATGCCTCCATCTCCCCATCCCTCCCTCCAACCATCTCCCCATTCATCTCCCCATCCCTCCAACCATCTCCCCATCCCTCCCTCCAACCATCTCCCCATTCATCTCCCCATCCCTCCAACCATCTCCCCATCTATCCCTCCATCTCCCCATGCCTCCATCTCCCCATCCCTCCCTCCAACCATCTCCCCATTCATCTCCCCATCCCTCCAACCATCTCCCCATCCCTCCCTCCAACCATCTCCCCATTCATCTCCCCATCCCTCCAACCATCTCCCCATCTATCCCTCCATCTCCCCATGCCTCCATCTCCCCATCCCTCCCTCCAACCATCTCCCCATTCATCTCCCCATCCCTCCAACCATCTCCCCATCCCTCCCTCCAACCATCTCCCCATTCATCTCCCCATCCCTCCAACCATCTCCCCATCTATCCCTCCATCTCCCCATGCCTCCATCTCCCCATCCCTCCCTCCAACCATCTCCCC